CCCCAAAACCCCAAAACCCCAAAACCCCAAAACCCCAAAACCCCAAAACCCCAAAACCCCAAAACCCCATGTTGCGCAACACCACTGAATAATTTGAAATGTCTCCTTTAAGAAGTTAATATATAAGAGATAATTTTAAATCAAAAATAAATTAGTTAAAAATGGATTTTAATGAAGAAGATGACGGGCTTAATTATGATAAGAACACACCCATGGTTGGGTTCTTTGAGATGTTTAAGTTCAGTACATTCAAGATCAAGATCTACCTAGTACTAGGCATCATCTCTGCGATCCTTGCAGGGATAGCAATGCCTCTGTTTGTTATTTTTATTGAAGAGCTTTACAACTCGTTTGACCCAGACACATCAGTTAAGACGACATATGGTAAGTCCAAGAGCTTGATAGATTTTAATTGGATAAATTTGTGTAATGTTTTACAGATAAAACACCAAATTTTCTGGTCCTTTTGTTTGAATCGGGTAAAATTTCTGCTTTTAAAGTTCTGTAAAACTTAAAATTAAACACAGGATTCGTTCAAAGAAATTTTTAAGTTAAGTATTAGATCAGATATTACAAATATTGAAGTTATAAGCCTGAAAAAAGTTGGAATAGGCTGAATCCCTTTGAAATAAGCTCAATATCACAATTTTTGCTCTAAATTCAAATTAAACACCTATTCAGAAATTCTTTCGGATAGATCATAGATGGATAATTTCCTCATGATCTTTTAACGATTTGCAACTCCTAGGCTTTATTTGCTAAGTCCCACCATTTTTTCTGGCTAGTCTAATCCTTATCCTAAACTTCTGATCAGAAGGGAAATATTCGTCAGTTAATAAATAAGAGTTACGGCTACAAATCATCAATTTCATCTCAACGTTGCGTATGATTTTATTCATCCAAAAACAATCAGAAACTATAAGGTTTCTAGAAATTTGTCATGAGTGAATGGATCGTAACACAATGCTACTCTAAAGGATACCTTACTTCATATTTTGTAGTGTTTGAATATAACTCCTAACAGAAGTGACTATAGTATCCAATTTGTGTGTCGAGTTTTAATTGGCTAAAAATTAGTATATCCATTAGGAGATTTAACATTCCAAAATTTCTGGTGACTTACGATTTCTTATAGATAACTGATTCAAGATATTGCTATATCTGATCTACATTGGAATTGGACTGTGGTTTGTCAGCTACCTCTACCTTGCCTTCTTCGGTATGGTATCTGAGTACACCGGAATGATCTACAGAGTTAAGTACTTAGAGTCAGTTCTTAAACAAGATATCTCATGGTTCGAGAATAATGATCCTCAATCATTGGCATCAAAGATTAGTAAAGAAGCTTCAGCTATTCAAGTAGCTACTGGAGAGAAGGCAGCCAATATTTTCTTCGCGTTTACTATGCTGATCGCTGGGGCAGTAGTCTCATTTACAATGGGATGGAAGTTTGCCCTTGTTACAGTTGCACTGTTCCCTCTTTTGTTCTTAGTCTTATCCTTCATGATAATTGTTCTCCAGATGGGATTTAAGGTAAGTAGTTAGGTTTTTACACAATAGAAACAAGAGCAAGCATTCAAAGCTTCAAGCACTCTTGCAGAGCAAGCTTTAAACTCTATTAAAGTTGTTCAGGCTTATGGACAGGAAGAAAAAGAAGACGAAAGATTCTGTGAGCCTTTGGAAGAAGCTAGAAAGAGCGGAATTAAATACCACTTCATTTCTTCTCTTGCTTATGGAATGAATAATGGAATTTTCATGCTTATATTTGCCTTAGCTTTGTTCTTCGGAGCATTGTTCGTAACTGAAGGAATAAAAAACGATATCAGAGATAGAGATTACACTCCAGGGGATATTATTGCAGTATTTTTCGGAATGATGTTTGCTGCCTTTTCTCTTAGTTTGGCAGGACCAAACTTCAAGTCAGTAACAAAAGGTAGACAGGCAGCATATGCAGCTCTTCAAACTATTGAAAGAGTGCCAAATATCATTATTGATGATGAAGCTGCCAAACGTATAGACAATATCAGAGGTGAAATCAAGTTCCAAGATGTAAAGTTCAAATACAAAACGTAAGTTCTTTGCTATATTTTGCCTAAACAATCATATAGCCGGAAGATCAATGCTTTGGATGGAGTCACCATCAACTTTGAACAAGGCAAAGTCACTGCCCTGGTTGGTCCTTCTGGATCTGGAAAGTCTACCATTGTTCAGCTCATGGAGCGCTTCTACGACCCTGATGAAGGCTCAGTGCTCATTGACGGTGAAGACCTCAGAAACGTCAATCTCAGAGACTTCAGGTCCAAAGTGGGATATGTGGGACAGGAGCCTGTGTTGTTCAACCAAACCATCAGAGAGAACTTGTACTACGGTAACCCTGAAGCCACCGAAGATGACATGCTCGAAGCTTGCAAGAAAGCCAATGCAGCCAAGATCATTGAGAGACTTCCAGAAGGACTTGACACCATTGTAGGAGCTCAAGGAGGCCAGCTTTCAGGTGGAGAAAAACAAAGAATTGCTTTAGCCAGAGCATTCATCAAGGATCCGAAGATTCTAATTTTGGATGAAGCGACATCAGCTTTGGACAGGAAGAACGAACAAGAAGTACAAGAAGCCATTGACAATTTGAAGAACGGAAATCTGAACATCACGACCATTGTTATTGCTCACAGGCTCTCAACTATTAGATATTCGGACAAGATTGTTGTACTTAAGGAGGGAAAAGTTGTGGAAGAAGGAAATCATAAAGAGTTATTGAAAAATTATAAGGGAGGAGTTTACTCAACTTTAGTTGCTAAACAAGAAAAACTTGATGATGACCAAGAAGAAAGTGATGAGAGTTTAGATGGGAGTTCAGATGAATCTGCTGATCATAAAAAGAGGGTACACAAGACGTCTACAATGAGAAAGAATACTTCATTTAATGAAGAAGTCAAGAGCAAGAAAGAAGAGGCTGACGCACTTGATGAAGATATTAAGAAAGAAAAGGATGAACTTATTGCTCAAATCAAGAAAAAAGGATACTTCAAGAGACTTATAGAGTATAATCAACCTTACTGGTTGATTGTTGTCGGTCTTATAAGCTCAGGAATTCAAGGAATGACAATGCCTGTTTTTGCTGTATTTTATGTCAAGATTTTATTTGCAATGTTTGAAGAAGACCTTGAATTAATCGCTTGGTACTGCTTTGGAATGGCTTGTAATTGTGCCCTTTCTTGAACTGCTACATACTTTCAAAAGCTGTCATTTGGAATTCTTTCTGAAAATATGACTAAATGTATTAGAAGAGACCTCTACAAAGCTATACTAAAGAAGCATGCAGGATGGTTCGATCTTCCAGAAAACAATATAGGAGTACTTACTTCTACTCTTACTTCTGATGTATATGCATTAAATGGGGCTTCTACAGAGGGACTCTCAACAGTTATTGAAACATGGATTGGACTCATTGGCGGGCTAACCATGGGACTCATTTTTGAATGGAGAATTGCTTTAAGTGCTCTCTGTGTCATTCCATTCTTCATTTGCTCAGCTGTAATTCAAGTTCAATTACAAACTGGATTCACTGAATCTCAAGAAGGTTCTTTAAAGAAAGCAAACTTGCTTCTATCAGACGCTATTTCTAATTACAAAACAGTTGCTTCCTTTGGACACGAGTACTTACTTACAGACATCCTTAGAGAAAATTTGAAAGAGCCTTTAAGAAAAGGAGCCATTAAGTCTCATTTAGCAGGATTCGTATTTGGGTGGTCTAACTTTGTCCAGAATGTTGTGATGGGTCTCTTGTTTTTCCTCGGAGCAGTGTATATCAGATATGATGGAGCTGATCAGGAAAATTGCTTCTTGGCTATTTTTGTTTTGATGTTTGCAGCATGGGGAGCTGGACAAGCTCAACAGTTCGGACCATCTCAAGGTAAAGCTTTCAAATCTGCTATCAGGATATTCTCTATTATTGATGAGCCCTCAGAAATTGATGCCAGTGAAGACAGTTCAGAACTTGTTATGGCTGATGATAAGACCTTTAATGGTAAAATTGAATTTAGAAATGTATGGTTCAGATACCCGACCAGGCCAGATACCTGGGTTCTTAAAGATTTCTCACTTACTGTTCTCCCACATGAGAAGATAGGATTGGTTGGAGAATCTGGAAGTGGAAAGAGTACCATAGTCCAACTGATTCTTAGGTTTTACGAGCCTCACTTTGGTCAGATCTTGATTAACGGAGTCGACATCAAGCATTACAATCTGAAGTCTCTTAGACAACAAATGGGGCTAGTGCAGCAAATGCCAACTTTGTTTAATGACTCTGTACTGTTTAATATCTGATATGGAGAAAACGAGCAAGATGTGAACAAAGCTATAGAAGCATCTGGCATCTCAAACGCTAAAGGCTTCATCTCAAGACTAACAGATGCTAAAGGAGATGACAATGTTGCAATTGAAGAACATGAAGAGGTCGATGAAGACAATGTTGATGTTGAAGATCTCAAGAAAGGTCTAAAAACTGGATGTGGAACTAATGGAGGTAAACTATCTGGAGGACAAAAGCAAAGAGTTGCCATAGCTAGAGCTGTAATCCGTCAACCTAGCATTTTGCTTCTTGATGAAGCTACAAGTGCCTTAGATGAAGTTTCTCAAGGAAAAGTGCAAGAAGCACTCGAGAAAATCATGGAAGGCAGGACATCTATCGTTATTGCTCATAGGCTTACAACTATTGAGAATTGTGATAGAATCGTATTACTTAAGAATGGAAAGATATATAAGCAGGGAAAATACAATGAAATCAAAAACGATTTGTAAACCATGATCATATATATTCGATTTATTCTATATGTTTTCTTTAAAAGGGGTTTTGGGGTTTTGGGGTTTTGGGGTTTTGGGG